CTCAATGCATGACAAAGCCTAGGGCGGAGAAAGGAATCACTGATCCTTTATCTATTTTCTTTACTGCTTCCCTTTTCCTCAGGATCTATATATGAATTAGTGAACTGCCCAATAGGGTGACTTACAATTCACAAAAATCCTCGAGTTTTTGGTTGATTTTCTGCCTTTTGCATTTGTCTCCTCAGAGTGCTCTAGTTCAGAGCCTCTTTATCTTGTATTAACACCATTTCTGTAGAAGCCAAAATACACGTGACCCTGGAGGAACACGGGTTTGAACTGTGTGGGTCCACTCACACATGGATTTTTTTCAAAAACAACTGTAAATGTATTTTCTTTTCATTATGATTTTTAAGAACATTTTTACTTGAGCCTATATTATTGTAAGAATACAGTATATATTGCATACAACATAGAAAATATGTGTTAACTGACTGTTTAGTTATTGGTAAGGCTTCCTGCCAACAGTAGGCTATTTGTGGTTAGGTTTTAGGGGAGTTGAAATTTACACACAGATTTCTGATTGTGCGAAGGGGTGGGTAAGTGCCCCCACACCCACATTGTGCAGGTGTCAGCACACGTGCCCTGCAGCCTCTGCCTTCCATCTGCATCTCCTCCCTGCTGCCTGACCTTGTCACTGCCCGGGTTGCAAGCCTTCAATAGCTATCTCTCAGATCAATTCTCAACTTTATTCAAGGCCTTCTGCAATTTTATTCCACCTACTTTGTCTCTGGCCATTCCTCCTGCCCTAAAGTTCAAGCTAACTTGCTAACACACATTTCCCAGACTCTTTGACCTCACTGTTTCTTGTACCCCCTTACCCACTAACGCCCTGACATTTCCTTCTCATTTTCCAGGGCCAGCTCCCATGCTGCCTTCCCCCAGAAGCCTTTCCTGTTCTCTGCTGCTGCAGCAGCTTGGATTCCTCCTAGGTGAAAAGTCAAGTCCACAGACCCTGGAGCCATCTTGCCCGGGGCTCAGACTTAGCTTCACCACTTACAAGTGTTGGAACCATAGTCAAATCACTTCACTTCCCAGTGATGAGATTTTCTCATTTGTAAAATAGAAGACATAATGGCATCTTTCTCACTGGGTTGCTGGTAAGATTCAATGAGTTGCTGCATTTTCAGCCTTTTGCACAAAGTGAGGGCTGTATAGTGTTAGCTATTATTTTACTAAGTACATGTCTGTCTTCCCAAATTGATTGTGAACTCTTAAAAAGCAGGGACTGTCTTATATCCATGTCCCTAATGTCTGGCACACAGTAGGCACCTGGTGTATATTTGTTCAGTAAATTGGCTTATTATTACTCTGCCAGTGTTTCATTTGTTTACGGGTTAACTGGTGATGCAGGGTTATTTTCAATGAGTTTATATTCCCTACAGTGGGCCAGCAGCAGGTTCAAACCCTGGTGTCTAGACAGGTTTATAAATGCTGTGAATCTGGGTGACTTGGCCAGGGTACAGGGTTCCTCTCAGTCTGCTTTCCTTATCTCTAGGCCCTGTTCTCTGCTTCTCAGAAACCCTCTGAATATGGGGTGTTTCTTGTTCTACTTTATCCAAAGAGGCTTTGTAATCCAATACCCTTGTCCTTGGGTTGGAACTGTGTTCTTTTTTTTTTTTTTTTTACTGTGAAAGTTTGGTGTCTGTTTGACATTCAGAACAGGAGGATATGCCAGGACCAGCTGAATGGAAGAGAAAGAAAAGGGAAAACTCAGAAATGCAAGGGTAAACAGGGCACAAAATAACAAGAAGCCTGGCATTGCTTGAGCTCATCTACTCCAGGTCCTTGTTCAGGGATTCAATTCCTGGTTATTTCTGCCAGGAAATAATAATAGTCCTTGCTGCTTAGGACTTTGCTGGAGAAATGGGTCCATCATAAGCCCCTCAGCTGAAGGTGCCAATGAGAATTTGGAGAGGGCTCAGCAGGGGACAACATGGACGATTCCAAAGGCAGAGGGTGGAAGGACATGAGAGAAATCTAAGAGTAGGATGGGAGAAGAAGGTGCAATTCAGTGGCTGAGTTAGAAAATAAATGGAGTTTATACAGATATCTAGAATTTGCTACAGACCTCTGCTTTAGCTGAGAGATTTCAGATAGCCCTTAGGAATATGTGGCTATTACTGTGGATACAAAGGGATGGCAGCTAAGACAGTTCTGTCATAGCCCCTGTGCTCTCCAGCCCAAAGAGTGGCAATCTTCTGTCACCAGTGCTCAGGGAGGGCCTAGAGTATACTGGGGCAATGTGGAAGGGGAACAGAGTGACCTTCCATACCAGAGCTCTGTCCCTGTCCCTCTCATGTCTGCCCCTTCCAAGTCTTAGTTCTGTAGACTGGAGAGCACTTCTGACCTGGGCAGAAACACTCAGCCTTTGATTCTTCTTTCGAAAAGAGTCAATTCATCCTTTTTATTGTCTCCCAGAACTGTTCATAGAAACCTGTGACTATGACTTCATTTTTGACTTTTTCTTTTCATTCTAGATTCACCTTTCCATTTTCTTAGTCCCTACGTGTCTTTCTATTTTCCTCCCCTCTCCTTCTGTTCCACTTTCTGGGGCTCCCCCACTCCCCTCTCCCATGCAGTTCCTTATGTGTTGGTCTGGCAAAGAGGGGCTATGGCATAAGCCAGAGCCTGGCATTTGCCCAATGCCACCACCCACAGCCCTCAGTGACAGCCAGTGTGGGGAACCTCCCTGGCTGGGACCATCCTGGGACTTTGGCTGCTTCCGCTGATAAACTGCTTGGAGACCCTCATCCACCCTAGATGCTGGGTTAAGAAGGATCTTGGTTTTTGAATTGTTTGACCATGGGTGAGTTCAAATAAGGGTCTGTAACATCATATCTTCATTCATTGAATATTTACTGTACACTTACAACATGCCAATTACTCTTCTGAGTACTGGGCAGGAACATATGTAAACATCCAGTTTCCACAAGGAGCTCACAAGCAGATGTGCAGTCTGCTTTTATAACGAACCATAACACTCTGGGAGAAGGTTTCTATTAACAATATGAAAAAGATGTGGGTAAATGGAGGAAAAATGAACTGATGGGCCATGCTTCCTCTCAAACGCTGACTCTGCCCTGTGTGGTCATTTGGGTGGTTGCCGTAATGTACATAAACATGGATGATGCCATGTTATTTTGACTCCATCTTAATAGTAGCCCATTTCCTTTCTGCTCATGACAACATAGCTGAACAACAATAGCCATAGTGCCCCCTCCTTCTTTTATTTTTTCCTGAGGTAGCCATGCAGATATTTCTAACCCATGTTGGCTTTCATCAGCCACATTTTTACCACTTTTAATTGAAAGCAGACCCAGATTTTAGTCTTACGAAACTCTCCCAAGAGGAAGAGCCATGTGGAAATACAATGGAAAGACCAATTTCATGAATGATCTCTTTTTACAAGGATGGGTGAATGGGAGGATATAGTAGACCTGGACTTAGAAGACCAGAGTGCTAGTCCCACCTATCCACCAATTAACTTGATGTCCCTGGGCCTCAGTTTCTTCATTTGCAAGCGGGGATGATAACAGTATTCACTTTGTTGGGTGATGGTGGGAATTTGTTGAGAAAACGCATATAAAACACTTAGAATGCAGGTATTTTGGCAGTGATGATGAAGTCCACACTTCCTCATCAGCAGAAGGAGCAAATTTCTGTTCAGCAACAATTCTTCAGCATCTTCCATATTGGTGCCTCACTGGGGGTTCAGAATGATCCAGAAGCTCACCACTGGGGAAGGGGACACACACACACACACACACACACACACACGACTCTATAACAGAATATACAGTCCCAAAGAGCTGCTAGGTTCACGAGTGTGGCTGTGCAGGGCAAGAGGGTACTGGAGAGCTCGGTGGGGAGGCAATGTTTGATCTGGGCTTTGAAGGGTGAGTAGAGTGAGATTGTCTTTCCTTGCAGAAAAACACATCAAAATTCTTCATGATTTCTCTAGACTCCTTTCTGTTGCTTCTCTACCATTAGCCCTTTGCATTGGGGTATTTTCAGTTTCTCAGAAATACAGCATACCTTCTCTTGCCTTCCACCCATCTTTGCATGTGCCAATTTGACCTGAAACTTTTCCTCCCTGAAACTTAATGCTAGAGGGGTAGCATTGTGGACAAGCAAGTCCCACTAAAAAGGGTCAGACTGTGGAGTTTGACCTAGCTTTGTCATTTACCAGCCACTGGGGCCCCTGCTGTGTTACTCAATCTCTTGGTGAGTCAATGTCCTCACCTGCAAAATGGGGATACAGGATAATAGTGCCTACCTCAAAGGCTGACTGTGAGGATTAAATGAAGTAATACCTGCTGAGTACTTGCCAGCCTCACCCACAGTAATCACTGAATATTAAACAGGAGCGGTTGTGGTGAATCCTTCATGTCTGCCATGCTCCTACTTGTATTTCTGGTCTTATCTTAGTCATCACCTGGTCTTGGGGGACTTTTCATTCACAGGCCAACTCCTAAGGTCAGGTTGAGTGCTCCCATAGGTATTGCACCTCCCCTTCCACCAAATTACCAACATCTCTCATCTCTGTGTCTCCACTAGGTTGCAAACTCCATGAGGATAGGGGACAGTTGATTGTAGGTTGCTGCGAGGGACACGTGGTGGGCTCTCAGTAAATACTGAATGAATGACCTGGGGTGAGGGTCCCCTCGACCGCCAGGGGGTGTGGCAGAGCCTCCTGGGGCAGCCAGGGTAGGAGTGGGCCGCCAGAGCCCTGGGAAGATGAACAGACAGGTGGGTCTTGACACCACAGATAGCAGACAGCTTGGGCGTCCAGGGGGTCCAGGGCAACTTTCCGCCACTGGATGGGCCCTGGGCAGACGCGCATCGCCTTGCAAATTTGGCCGGCCTGTCCCTTCCGGAAAAATGCCGCCCGACCTTCGGGGAGAGCTTTGTAGGGCCCCGCCCCCAGCTCCGCCCTCGGGGGCGGCCCCTCCCATCTCCTCCCGCTCCACCCGCCCACGCCCCGCCCTCCTCGCCGCAACCACAGAGGCTACTGCCCTACGGCGCCCCCCCGGCAGGCGGGCCCGCTCGCTTATTCCGCTCCGAGCCGTGCAGCTCAGATCCTCACCAACCGCGGCTGTGGGATGCTGCGCTCGACGTCTACGGTCACCCTGCTCTCGGGCGGCGGTAACAGGACTCCCGGGGCACCCAGCAGGAGGGTGAGTGCCTGGGGATGGGAGCCGCCGCAGTCCCGCTTCCCCGTCCCAGTCGCCCCGCAGTAGGGGGTCTGAGGATGGGGATGCGCGGAAGCCGGTCCCTGGCCCTGATGCCCCACCTTGGGCTCAACTTTTCGACTCTGCCTCAGATTCGGCCCTGACCCTTCTTCTCGACGCCCCAGTCGCTCCCCAGGTTCGAAGGGTTTAGGGGACTTTCTGGAATTCCCAGAGATTTCCTCACCTTCCTGACTCTGCTGTCAAGACAAGTTTATTGGCACCAGTTTTAAACAAAACAAAACAAGGAAGGGAGACATTTCTGCAGTATCTCTACCTTGGGATTCAAAGTTAAAGAACGGCTTTAACAGCCAAATTTTCCTACTTCCGGCGATTAAGAAAAAGGGTCGCTTGTTCCCACTGGTGATCGAATAACACTATTTGCTACTGGAGTGGGCTTAGCCAGGGTAGGCTTCGCCTGACAAAGTAGGGTTAGCAGCTGGAGCCCAGTTGCATGTGACTTGGGTTTATGCAAACTGTCTTCATTCTGATTTAAATATTAGCACAGTGGTAGCAGAGGCAGCCCTGGTAGCCTTGGGCACCATCTTCAGGGTGGTTGCCCTTTGGAAGTGCTCTTTTTCTCTGTGATCTTTTTTTGCTTCCCTTCTCTCGTCTCCAGGCATTCTGGGGAAGACATGCTAGGCACATGCAGTTTGCATCTTTCCCATTCCGTGTCTCTCCCAAGATCAGCACCTCAGAGCACACTGCCAGGGCCTTGGTTTGAGCTTTTCAGTTATCTATTCATGGTGATATTCAGTACTTAACATCTGATGCCTCTTTTCTGTGGTTGAGGCATCTCTAATGTGTTTCCCCAGAGTTTAGCTAAATAGGTGTTTAAGTCCAAGTAAGGCACCCCTTGATACTCGTATTGTGTTTCAGTTTGTAGATATGCATATTTGCGTTTTATATACCTCAGTCAAGTGACTAACAGTTGCCTTATATTCTGTCTTTGTTTAACTCTAGAAGAAAGGCATATTGTTACCTTTGGGTATGGGCCAAGTGATGGGTACTGGGGGTGTGTGCACACACACGTGTGTGTGCATGAGTACATACACTAAATATTTAGGATTGACAGAATTCTGGTTGTTCAATCATGAACTTCATAAAGCAAGATCTCCATGAGGTCCAAGAGAGTTTCCAACCATGGTCCCAGCCATATCCAAGATGGAAATTTGCCTTTTTCTATGGAACTCCTTCACAGTTGGAACATAGTTGTGATTGAGAAAGAATAAAGTCGCTGCAAAACTAGCCCTGCAGCTGGACAGTCATGTGTGAACCAGATACCACGAAGTGCATTGTCTGAGTCTCCCTCCAGAGATGGGATCTGATTGGAGCAGCTAGAGTGATACTGTGGGGGGATGCAAATCTGGTTAGTAAACAATATAATTTTCCTGAAGTCTTTTCTCAAATATTACTTTCCAGTATTTCTTTGGTTATACGTGTTTTGGTGTCTGGCACGTGGACACGCTATGGAGAAGGCTTGGCCTTTTGAGTAAGACAACCTAAATTCTTTGGAGGGAAGGGGTCAGGCCCCTGCATCAAACCATGCAGGGCTGTTCCAAGGACACGAGTATTTGTTTTGAGAAGATATCTGAAGGTTCTAGGATTCCCTTTATGATTTTCCACTCTACTCATGATCTGCAAATGTTGCAAGTACTGTCTGTGTGCGTGAGGGGGCGTGCTGGGAGGCTGTGCTCCTCTGATTGATTGATTGACTGATTAAACAATATTTACAGATTTCCTTCTGTGTGATATAAGGCTGGGTGTTGGGTTCACTCTACCCAATGCCTAGCCCTGGAGGGAGGCGGACTTCGTCAGACTACTGCCATACAGTGTAATGGCTGTTCCAGTGGAGCAGAGCATTAACGGAGTTGGGTGGAAGCTACAAGACAGGTTCTTCCGAAGCATCTGAAGAAGCCCTCCCTCTGCAGGAGACATCTGAGTTTAGTCTTTAGTCTTACAGGATGAGTAGGAGTTTGCAGGGTCCTTGACATTGGGGTACTGAAAAGAGGCTATATTGTTCTTTTAGATGGAACTCTTGACAAAAACTGTGTAACAGTGGCATATTGGACCTGCTTTAGCTCAAAACACTTACCTCTTTTTTTGAAATACAGGAACAAGATGTCTTGCAAATAGAATTGTAGACCAAACAAGTAATCATGAAACGTGTTCCTGAAGTTGAAAGTTTTTCTGTAAACTCTATTGTTCTGTATTTCTTTTGTAATGTTGGACAAGTGATGGTCTTGAGCAATAATGTTGGCCATTAAAATAGCATTTCTGTTTCATCCAAATTGCTTACCAAATTAGGGGCTGCAGGGGGACCAGGCTGTGTTGGTGTGGGTGTCCGAGCTGACCAGAAATGGTGGTGACAGCTGACACTGAGCAGGGACTTCTCTGAGTCAGCAGCCAAGGGTGGTGCAGCCAGACTGGACTGTCACCAGTTCTCCTTCACTCAGTGGCTGCCACCTGCAATTTATACTTCCTCCTTATCTGAAATCACCTCCCAAGACAAAAAGAAAGAAAGAAACAAACAACAGGTGGGAGAGTCATTTCTGTCAGCTGATAAAACAAATCTCTGAGAGACATTTATGGATGCCAACCAGCAGGGGATATGAAATTAAAGAAAAAATCTGCCTCCAAACCAGTTGTGCTCTAAAAATAGTTTTATCTATGGCAACAGCAGGAAGATAAATTGGCTGGAGATACCATAGAGAGAAAGATGACCTTGGAGAATGGGGAAAACCTTTCTTAAAATGTTGACATTGCTTCATGATTTTGAAAGGAATTTTGAAAATGCAGTTAATCCCACTGAATGAGCCTTTGAAAAGAAAGGTCAGTGGTGTGGCCAGCTTGTGCACTTTTGGGGGAAGGCCTGTGTTGCTTGGTGCAACCAAATGTTTTTGGTTAAGCAGTCCAGCTAGGGTGGTGTGGGACCTGCCGAGGGTTTCCTTCAGTGCAGTATCTCCTACTGATAATAAAGGACTGTTCGTTAATGTTACTGTTATCATGGGCCCTCAGTGGCATGTAAAAAAACAAAAGTCAACAAGGCCACAAGGAGAGGGCTGTCTTCTAGCCTGCTCTTGCCCACATTTCTTTCTATGTGGCAAAGGCTTCCTTCTGTTAAATACTGAATGGGTCTGCCAGTCATCACTGCCTAGCTAATTAATGCAGCAGTCCTGGGTCCCATTTCTGTCTGATTGGCTCAAAATAAAGAATTCTGTTTAGCTGGGCAGTGAATGGGTCAGACAAGAATTTACTTCATTTCCTTTTCCTTTTCGCAGAAACATTGTGTGCGTAACTTCTGTATTGTCCTATAGGCTTCTTGGAAGGGACACAGGGTGTTGTGGGACCTCAGCATCTGGAGAGGGAGGTTGTGTGCAGCATCCACCAGGGAGGGCCCCGGGCAGGGGCCCTGCTGCCCCCAGAAAACAGGCCGGCCCCTCACTAGGGCCCTCCTGACAGGCTAGGTTGTACAGTTTTGGATCCCTGGCATCCTCAGGGCTGAGCCAAAAAGCATCTGTCACTACAAATTGACATTTGTATCTCAGGAAAAAAAAGTCCCAGCCTCTCTGCTTTGGTTCACCCATCTTGCTGTGTCAGGTGTAGGATGAATGGCCTTGGGTCCTCGGGACTTGTAAGGAAACTTGAGACCTGGAGGCTCTGGTCACTTGGGAAACCCTTTCAAGTCAGTCAGCCTCAAAAATTGTCTAAGCGGGTTCAGGGAGCCGTGGATCCAGTGCTAACCAACTAGAGACCACGTTGAAATGCTCTGATCTAAAATACTTTCGGTGATTCCATGTGTGTGGTCTTAGAGCTTCCTGTGGCCCTCCCTCTCAGGTGGAAACAATTCTAGGATTCCCCAAGACACTGAAGAGTGCACAGTGGTATTTACTGCTTTTCCCTTTTTAAATGAGTGATACTTCCTAAATGTCAATCACATTGTCCACTCCTACTTGTTTTTTAAGGCCGGAGTGAACCACAAAATTCAGTCACCAGACTCCTGCTTCAAGAGCCCCTCAGCACTGCCAGGACAAAGTACAACCCCCTTAGCTTAGCATCTGGGCCCCTCTGATTTATCTTTGCCTTCCCTGTCCCCCCCTCCATGCACACTCTTTCCAGATATTCCAAACAACTTGCTATTCCTTAAGCTTTCCATGCTGTTCCTTGTCTTTTTGCCTTCTTTGTACCGCTCCTTTGATGAAGGGTCATCTTCTCCAGGAAGTCTGCCCCGAAGCCTCCTCTTCCATGTTCCCCTAGAGGCCTGTGCACTCTGTCATTGCTTGCACCACCTATGATTAACCCCCAGGCCTGCTGTAATAGGTGCTTAAAAAGAGGAGTGTCACCAGGATCCTAAAGGAGCCGCACTTAACATTGAATTGACAAAGGGGAAAACAGGAAGAGAAGCTTGGGGTTAAAGCCAGCCCATCACCTTTGGCCCACCTGGGCAGGAAGCAGGTGACAGATGGTTGGGAGTGCTGGCCCAGGTGAGGAGTCTGACAGTTCTGGGAAGGCCTCCAAATATTCCAGTTACCTCATCCTGTTGCATAGTTGGAGTTTCATTCCTTTGGTTAAGTCAGTGGTTCTCAACCCTGGTTACACATAGCATCCTGAGAAGCTGAAAATATGTGTGCTCAGGTCCCACCCCAGACCTTCAGAAAGAACTTCAGAAAGTAGAGGAAAATATCCGTGTTGTTTAGGAAGCTCCCCAGGTGACTCCAATGTGCAGCCAAGGGCCGGAACTCCTCCTCCCAGCTTGGCTTTCCCCTTACAGCTCGCATGGAAATGCAGACACTTCTGGGACAGTGTTCTGGAAGGTCCCTTTGGCCAGGTGGAAGGCGAGGCTATTGGGAAGGTAGATTGGCGGCGGGGGGGGTCATAACACTTCAGGTCATACTGGTATCTGTGAACATTCACTTACCTGCAGCTTCTCCTTGATCTTGGCATCCAGGGCACATTGTGTGCTGGCTCAGAAGTGTACAGGTCACTGTCCTCCTATGTGGCTTGAATGCTGTGAGTTTTGTCTGGAGTCAGCTTGGACACAGGAAAGAGAGGCTGGAAAAAGTGTCCAAATATGTAGATCAGGGGTCAGCAAGCTACTGTCCCTGGGCCATATCCAGCCCTCAGCCTGTTTTATATACTTTGAGCTAAGCCTGTTTTTCATACTAGCCTGGGAAACCTAAATGTTTACTCTCTGGCCCTTACAGAAAAAGTTCACCCCACCCTGATGATAATCAGGCCTTCAAGTTCAGGGCCACATCAGAGATAAGAGGCCTACTCCAGAACAGGCATGCCCTATTCTTGCCCACAGATTTCCAGGGATTTTTTGCTTGTGCTGAGCAGAGGGAGTGTGAGATCCATCCTTCTGGCCACAGCCACAGGGTCCACACCTTCTCTTGTTCAGTGGAGCTGGGCACGGGCCCCACAGTCAAAGCACTGACCAGGCCTGAGAGAAATGTGCGTGAATTTGGCTAAATTCCTTAGGAAAATCCATCTTTGTAAACAGATTAGCAACCCGTCACCTCTTGGGGTCATCTTTTCCAATCCTTTTTATTTCAGATGGATGGTTTTCCTCACGTGAGCCCAGGTGCCTGAAGCTGAGAGCACGGTGGTATGTGGAGCTCCAGGTTGGAGACCACCCTCTGCCCTCAAAAAGCGGGTCAGAAGCAAGCCCCAGAGGGCCTGCTTAGCTCCCGGGTGCCTGAGTTGCAGACAAGGGCTTGCTTGTGTATTTTTTTGTGGTGGAGGCTTGAATACTTGTGGTGGAGGCTTGAATGCTATCTGCCTCTCCCTTGCTCTCCCTCCCATGGGTGTTAGTTTGAAGAACGTGGAAGGCTCTCTAGGGAGTTTCAGGTATATTCTCCTTACCGTGTTTTAGTTCAACACAAAAAGAAACTCGTACTGATATTTACTGAGCAAGTGCCTATTTTGTGTTGATACTATGTTAAGCCCTGTAAGGGCTACCAATGCAATTAGGTGCAAAGCTTTCTCCATCTCTCCCTCTATTTTTTTTCCATTCTTTCCATGTTGTAGTGTGTGGAACATAACAGGAGGTATTTAATAATTTCTGTCAAATGCTTGAATTCAGATTTGAGTGTTAGTCCTTTCCTCCAAGGATGGCTTCTCAGTCTTCCACTAGAGGCCTTGCCTCTGCAGCAGGCATCTGTAGATTGTTAGAGGTCAGCCTCTGCCTATTTGTCCATTTTCTCTCTCACTGTAGCTTAGGGTGCTGGCCCCACTTACCATTCCTGGATCAGGCCAGCTTCTGTGCCTTTGGCCATCCTGGAACAAACACCTTGCCTGGTAGTTATCTGTTATTTTGACAATGAATTCTCCAAACCTCACTGGCCTGAAAAGTTCTTCTGTACTTCTATACCCAGCTCAAACATCATCTCCAGAAGCCTTCCCATATACTGCCAACTCCAGTTAAAATAATTGTTCTCCTTCCTGTATTCTCATAGTAACAAAGGACACTTACAGAGGGCTGTCTAGAGAAAGGGAATTCTGCTGCAGTCCCCGAGGGCAATGCTAGGTCCATTAGGTAAGAGTTCTGAGGGAGCATATAAGCTCATTGTCGGGAAGTTAGAGGTGAGGTGTAGCAGAATGGGAGGCTCTGGCGGGATGTGGTGGTGTACGTGGAAGTGCTAACACATGCCCCGAATGCCTGTGCGTGGAAAATGTTCCTCCCAGACTGGGCACCCATCTGCCAGTTACGTTGTTAGTTGTGGGGCTCCTTCATAGTGCCGGCCACGTGTAAATGAATCATGAGGCTTTGCTGTAGTTGAAAATGGCCAAGTTTTATTCAAGGGTCTTAGGGTTTGCAAACTGGAAACAACAACTAGGCGATGTCCCAGAGTGTTCTGAAGAAGAAAGAAAAGTTAAGAGTTTTTATGGTAAAAAGTACATCCTTGAGAAGAGTCAACCCTCCATTCTTAGCCTCTGGATTGGTCTGAGGTGATGATCTTCCCGATGTGTGGTAGTCTGGACAACAGATGGCAGGTGGTCTGGACACATGAACATTCTTTCTTAAGCTCTTCGGGCAGGTAACCAGAGGGCTGTCTGTAGGTTGTATATCTGTGTCTGTGTCTGCATCTACATCTATCTCCAGGCATCGGTGAACAACTGGAAAGGTCAAAAGTTTTAAGTCCTCAGGCTAGTTAAAATAAAATCAAATAAAATCCATTCTTCATGCTTTTGCCCATTTGGTCTGAACCAGTTTTGTCAGCTCGACTCTACAGACTCCGTTTTAAGTCAGCTTAGCTCTGCTGACTTCATCTTGTTTTCTTCACTCATTACCCCATAGCCTGGCAGGTTGGACTTAAAGGGTCTTTTACAATCCCATCCTACCCGGGGCTTTTTGGCTGCAGGGCAGTTTTGCTCAGAGATCACCCTGTGGGTCAGTGCAGACCCATGAAGCTGCAAGCCAGGTGGGGGTGTATTAGTTTGCTGGGCCTGCTGTAAAAAGCACCAGGTGACTGGTTCAGTCACCAGGTGACTGAAACAGCAGACAATATTGCCTCACACTTCTGGAGCTAGAAGTCCAAAATCAAGGTGTCAGTAGGATTGGTTCCTCCTCAGGGCTGCGAGGGAGGGGTCTGTTCCAGGCTTCTGTCTGGGGCATGTTTATGTGGCATTCTCCCAGTATGTGTGTCTGTCTCCAAATTTCCCCTTTTTATAAGGGTGTCAGTCATTTTGGATTAGGGCCTATCCTAATGGCCTTATTTTAACCTAATACATCTCTAATGACCCTGTTTCCAGATAAGGGCACATTCTGAAGAACTGGGGGTTAGGACTGTCCTGTATGAATTTTAGGGAGACACAGATCCACTTGTGGTGGGGCAAGCAGCACTCCTATAAATCGAGCACATGCAGTGCAAGCTGGGTACTCTGGGTGCTGATGGAGCCCCCCCTTTTTTTTAATGGCAGGATCACTTTTCCCTGGAAAATGTCACAGCAAGACCAGGCTGTGACATTAGGGTGAAATAGACATCATGCAGCATTAAGTATATTCTCATAGTTGTGCAAACATCACCACCATCTATCTCCAGAATTTTTCATCCTCTCAAACTGAAACTTCATACCCATTACGTAATAACTGCTCAGTCCTCTCTCTTCAGCTCCTGGCAATCATCATTCTACTCTCTCTTTGTAAATTTGTAGTATTGACTTAGTTCACTTAGCGTAATGTCCTCAAAGTTCATCCATGTTGTAGCATGTGCCAGAATTTTATTCCTTTTTACGGTATAATATTCCATTCTATGTATTGGGTTGGACAGATATCCATTTGATTTTTCCATAAAATAAAGGACACATTTTTCATTTTCACCAATAACTTTATTGATTTGGATATTTTGAGTATGTTGGCTATATCTTATATGGTATAATGTTGATCATTCTCAATTAATGTCTCAATTTAATTGCCATCAACTTCTAGCCAACCGTGGAGTATTGTCCAGTAAGAAATCTCCAGCATGAAACGTCACAAACCACTTTTGACACATTCGATCAGTCACAGCATCTTCTTCATGCACTGTACAAGTCTTTTGTTTTTGCGTTTCAGTTGCATTTTTACCTTTCTTGAAATAATAAAGCATAATATGCCAAAATGCTGCATATTTTCTTCCATCTTCAGCATTAAAATGGTTACACACAAATTCACCAATTTCGATTTTTTTTTTAATGTACACTAATAAGACTGCTGTCACAATACAATCTAACCAAATTGTTTCAAGTGAAGTTAAGGACAAAGTGCTACTAGAGCCATCTTATGGAAAAAAAACCAAACAAATTTTTGGGCCAGCCCAATACATGCTATGTTTTATTTCTCCCTCACCCATCAATGGACAGTTGGAGTGCTTCTACCTTTTGGCTGTAGTGAATAATGCTGCTATGAACATGGTTGTATAGACTTAAAAACTTTGTGATTGAAGATGGACATGTTTATTGTAAAATTCAGTATGTAGTCAAGTAGAAAGCACCCTCGCACCCTAGTCACCACTAGGTGTGTATTTGGCCTCTCTCCCTCCAGCTGTATTTTGGACTATGCATGTGAAGTAAGATCATTACATGTACACTGTTCTGGAACCCGAGCCATTTGTTACAAAAAATGTTTGTAACAATATGAAATCAGTCAGTACTTTCCTTGTTTTGAGCAGCAGTATGTTGAATGTGGGGGAAGGGCCAGACCAAGGCTGGCTTACCCGCAGAGTGCCCTGTGCGATTATCCACATTGCTAAGCAAGGAAACAGGCTCTGAGAAGCACAAGATCACCCAGCTCTTTCTGCCCCAAACGCGAGTTCATAACCAGCCTCTCCTCTCTGTCTCTTGTAGGCAAATGTCTGCAGACTTCGGCTGACTGTACCTCCCGAGAGTCCAGTTTCAGAGGAAAGGGAAAAGAAGCTTGAAAGAAAAGAGCAAGTAAGGCATTTCTGAGGCAAAGCTCTAACAAGTTCCACTCGTTGGACTCTTTTATGTTAACCCCAGTCTGTTCACGGAGCCTGAATGTCAGTAACTCTGCTGATGGAAGGCCCTCTCGACCTTGCCGCCCCGTCTCCTGTCTTCCCAGAAGTCAGACCGCCCTGACCGGCTGGCTCTGCCGGCCTGTGCCCCTGCTCTTGTTGCATGGTGAACACTGGCTCTGTGTTGGCTTTAGTGACAGGTGCTGTGGCAGCGAACATGTTTTTCCTGAAAGAGCCCAGTCTGGTAGAGTCAAAGGGCCCATTGTGAGCTGCCGGTGGGGCCTGAACCTTTCTCAGCAGCAAGAGCTGGGGCCCAGTTCACACTGTGGACACTTCGCCTGCAGAGGAAACGCCCAGCAGGCTCTGGTGTGTGTGGCAAGGGCAAGGGCACTTGGCTGCAGGTAGGAGGTAGCAGACTTTTTTGTGCCAGCTGCTGTGCTAAGTACTGAGCTGTGAAGATAAGTCTGACCTTGTCCTTGCCTTAGAGGAACTTGCAATGTTTCAAGTGAGGCAGACATGACAGTAAACAATGACGATATGATGCCTCAAGTGTTGGGATCCGGAAGTGTAAGAAGGGCTCTGGGGGCACGGGGAAGGAATAACAGACTGCTTGGGGGGTGGCGTGGAAGCAGAGGCCTAAAGGGTCCACAGCAGACCCTGCTCACCTCTTGGCCTGTGGTCTGAGGGAAGTGACTTTTCTCATTCACAGACAGTTATGGGGCACCTGCTTTATTCCAGGCACTGTTCTGAATGCTGTGACTATAGTAATGAGCAAAGCAGTAAACAAAAAAAAAATGCTTGTCATTCATAGAACTTAATATAAGTCCTGTTGGGAGGACAACAAAAATTTAAAGATGAAACACGATTATAGAGTTTAGAAGGTAGTAAGTGCCAATGGAGACAAATAAAGCAAGAGAAGGGGGCAGGAATACCAGGGTGTAGGTAGTAGTTTTTCTTCTGCATGTATTTTACATAAGTATAAAATAAAATAATAAAATATGATGTAATACAAATTTTACATATAAGGCAGTACCTTCTCAAAACACAAGTTATGCTATGGAAATAACCAATCATGTGGTCACTTATGAAAAAGGAAGTTTTTCTTTGACTGGTAAATGGTGGATAATGTCCCCAAATTCACTGTAGGTTTTGGTCTCTCCTTCCCTTGTCTTATACCCTTCTTTTCCCCACTTGCCACCAAGGACAAAGAGCTATCTGTGCTCATGCAAATGATGAATGACTGGGAAAGGAGGTAGGGAGGAAGGAAAATGAGGTTATGACTGGAGCAAGGTGAGAGAATGTAAAGATGCTTATCTGCTGAAAAAGAGAGGATGCGTCCCACTAAAAGGATCCAGTAACACAGCTGGTTCCAGCTGGGAGCAGGGAGAGTCCAGGGTGAGCCTGGGACATGTGCTAGAAAGCAGGGTAGCACTCACAGGTGAATGGGTCATATCAGCAAGACCCTGAAGCTGGTGTGAAAGGGCTCTCACTGGCAAAAATGGAACAATTTGGGCATCTAGTAGAGTAATGACAGCAGTGGGTTATGACACACTGAAATAATGAAAACAGCCCTCATGACTGCAGAGTAATAATGAGAGAGAGGGAGAGACAGGGAGAGGGCTCTTCTTTACAGGACGTCAGCTGATAAATTTAGAAAATCTCTATTTTGTAACCCTTAGGTTGGGTTATCAGTGGATGCAAAAACTAATTGGTGAGTGAGTACTATGAAACAGGATATTCACCTGGTGTCAGAGTAATACCTCCCAGATTGCTTACTGATTTTAAAGGTACAGTGGCACAATCTGACAGTTTCATAGTTCAATCAAGTGAGCCAGTTTAGCAGCCAGTACTGGGATGGCTTGATGTGCTATGTGACTTCTGAGGGGATCTGATTAAGAAGGGCACAGTATTATATAAGTAGTATTCACACAGAACTTGTTTAACTGAATCTAGTAATAAGGAAACAGAAAAATCTAAAATGTGGGAATACCTGCAAAACAGTTGGCCAGAATGTTTTAATAAATTCAATGTTTTTTTAAAAGATGAAAATATTGGAGATAAGAGACTTATATCAAATATTATAGGTGAATCTTGATTAGGTCCTGGATCAAAAAAATCTATGAAAGACACATTTGGATAATTGCACAATTTTCAATATAAACTACATAGTAGATGTCATTGAATAAATATTACTTTTCTTACTTATAATAATGGTACTTTAGTTATGTAGTTGAACTATTCTTTCACCTTCTCTGTAGCTTAGAATATCCTCCAAAGAAAACATTTGGGGGTAAAAACTTGTAACCAAGAGAGAGCAGGAGTGGCCAGGCTTCAGCTACTGGACACTTGCTGGTGACCAGGATTGCCTGGGGCCCTGTGTAGCTGGGGATGTGTTTGTCCCTTTCTGTCCTCGCTGACCCCCTTCTTGTCTATCCCTTTAGAACCGATATATTTGTCAGAGAAATGGGCCCAGGCTATGTCCAGGGGCACATGGGCATCTTAGCACATGGGGGCTCAGAAGGAGCGCATTTTAAAGAAGGGACCCAAACTGGAGGGAGTGACAGGACAAGGGCCTTGGTAGCTGCCTCCTTAGTGGGAGATGTGGGGGATAGGCTGAGGTGGAGATGACCCAGCTGTGTGCCTGGGGAGAGGTCTGTGAAGGGTCCTGGCACGCACAGTGGGGCAGTAGATGCTGTGAAGCCCTGGGGGGCACGTCACCACTACAGAAGAATCCTGTATTTCCAAAGAAACAGGCGCATGCGTTCTATGTCAGGTGGGAGTTGGTAACCAAGTTGTGTACCAATTAGCCTATTAGTCTTGAACAGTGCTTTTCAAACTTTTTAAAGCAATAGGACCCTCTCTTTTTTTCTTTTGCTCAAAATGTTATCTAGCTCAAACCCTTACATATAATTGAGGCAAAAGTGGTGATGATGGAGGCCAGAGTCCCCTCAGTCTCCCTTGACAGTGCTCTTCCTGGCCCCTCTGGCCTGAGAGCTCCAGGAACACAGGGTAGAAGCCACCAGCATAGGTTATGTGCCATGATGCTTGTACTGGGTGGACCTGAGTGTCCACCCAGTGTGCAGCCTGAGTGTCCATGTGTGATGCATTGGTGACTCACTGTAGAAGAACTGGGGTAGAGAGGAGGAGGGTGGGGCTGGCTGTTTCCCCAGGACTGAAGTCCTTGGGTGGTGGCAGCACTTGAAGGCGCTGGTGGTAAATGTGAAGCTGTTCTGGGTGATTTTGTCACCAGCCTTGGTGGGGTTCCTGGTCTTAAGTCACTGGGAGCCAGAGGCAGGCACCAGCGAGTGGGCCCTGGGGATGACACCTCCTCTGATGTGCCTTCAGTGTGGCTGCCCCTCCCTGGGACATCGTAGTCCACACCATCACAAGATGCCAGGAACTCTGGATGACCCTCCCTGATGAAATGACTTTGGTTTTTTTGGAGGGGGTCTGCATTGCGCAAAGGCTGGGGACTGAGGCTGGCCGAGACTTGGAAGCCAGAAGACATTAAGTGGCCCAAGTGGCTGCTGATGAAGCGGACCTTCTTGGAGGATATCCAGGGCCCTGTTAGAGCTGTAGTCAACCCAGAGTGGGGCTGGGCCATATTCTTTCCCACAGTCATGGAAGATGCTTAGTGTGCTTTGGGGACCTGAGATGACAGAAAGCAGCCAGCCACACACAGATGCCACTGCCACTGGGCCATTTTTCTGTCCACTGTTTCGAAATGACTGGAGAGAGGATTTACTCACGGTGCATGGCTGTGGCACTCGGACGGGTTGCCGAGCTTCACGGTGGTGTGTGGGGCGGTCACAACAGAAGCAGCCTCTTTTTCTGGACTCGTGGGGTTACCGGATGGGTGTGGGAGGCTGTCTGCTCCTTTTTCTCGCCCAGATGATATCAGCTACCCCGAGGCTGGTTTCTGTGGGCCTCTCAGATGAGCTTGCAAATACTTTCTCTTGCCTCTCAGTTTCTTCATCTTTCAAGTAGGCACAATAATGCCTGATTGCAAAGAGCAAATGAGCTAATATATGCAAAGGGCCTGCTTCAGTGTCTGGCCTATACAATTGATCAGAGAGGTAGTGACTAAATGCCAAATTGCTTCCCTTTGAATGCCCGACCCAGTGATTCTTGTTCTTTGCTTTTCTCCCTTGGACCCTTCTGGGGTAGTTCAGTCCCCTTCTTGGAACCTCCCATCCTGCATCTCCTCCGCCCTCTCAGGCTGTGTCTGCTGCATCTTTCTTGATGTCATTGTGTCTTTTCCCATAAATCTGAGTATTCCTCTGCCCACACCACCAGACTTCCTTAAAACTTTGAATGGAACAAAGGTACGCCCACTTAGAAAACGTTCTGACCCTATCAGACCAGGCAGCCCAGGGCATCTTACATTCCCATTTCCCGGTTACCAGTGAGAATGGCCATCCTGTCTTATGCTTATTCATTGTATGTATTTCCCTCAGAGCCATCTGAGTTTCGTCTGTTTCCAGGGGACTCTGCTGGAGTCGTCTTGTGAAAACAACTCAATATTATCTCCTTTTTTTATTTCCTGGTTGGTCTGCCCTCACTGGGCAAGTTCCCATATTCTCTTCTAAACCCATGGGGTCTACTTCATCCTCAGAACCCTTGCTAGGTAAGACTCAAGCCCAGGCTTGGAGTCTCTTCCCAGCTGCTCTCAGTTTATCTGCATCTCCTTCGTGGAGGCCTGCTCCCCTGAGACCTTCCCTGACTGCCTGTGCTTTGGAGAGTATCTCTCCTGAACCATGTGTGCCCAGGATGCCCCTCTTTCCTGGCACCCAACCACCTCTGCCAAGAACCCCCACATGTCTATATACCAGTACGTATTCCTGTGAAAATTGTGTACAGCATATACTTTTGCATGTATACACACATATAGAAATGAGGTGGTGTCTGTTTCTCTAGCACCTGCCTTACATGCTTAATGAATGACTGTTGATTATGATG